TTTTATAATCTCCTAAAACAAGTGTGCCTTTTAGTGTGTTGAGATGAGAATTTTTTAACTGCTTGATTAATAATGTTGGTGAAAAGCCCCTGTCAATAGCTATTGCTTTTTAAATAATTTAGTTCTTCATCAAGGCTGTTTGAGGAAGAACTTGAAGGAAAACATAGGAATAAAATGAGCTAACTTTTGTTTTAGTCGGATGACATGATTTAAAGTGTGGTGGAAGGCAAACCGATGAAGGTTTACGGTAACCTGTAGTACTGAAGTTGGATGTGTTACGTGTGACCAGAATGTCGAGAAACGGAAGAGAATTGCAGTCTCAAGTTCAAAAGTGAACTGAATAGCATGATCAATAGAATTCATTGTTGAAAGAACTTTATTTAAATCATCTTTTTACCTTCAAACAAGGTAAAAGTATCGTCTACGTAGCGGAACCATGCCGGGAAGTTTAAAGTTTCAAAATTTTGATTCATAATATGCATGTAGATATCAGCCAGGATGGGACTGGGGGGCTTCCCATGGCTAATCCTCAGTTTCTTGTATATTTATTTTGGAAAACAAAATGTGTTTGTTTCAAACAGAGTTGAGTGAGAGAAATTAGCTCATCAATTTCGATGCAAGAGAAATGAAATCACGCGAAGTCTGGTTTCTAGACATCTTAATGCACCCTCCACTGGGACATTGGTTGAATAATGATTTTACACATCAAAGAAACCATGAGTAAATTACGAGGAGAATGTTTTAACCTTTTTTTACAAACTCTATTGAATTTTTTATGGTGTAAATGTTATTGTCTAATGAGTGGAAAATCTAGAAACTAAATATTTAGCTAATGGATACGAGGCAGTACCTAAATTTTGATACAATAGGGCGGAAAGGAATACCACTTTTATGAATTTTGGGAAGAGCATATAATCTGGCACAATTCGCAACAGATGGGATAAGCGAATGTTTTTAAGTTGCTTGAAATGATTTGCGAAGATTTGATCGCAGTTTTTATTTTGAAGTCCGAAGGTGAAGGATCTTTAGGGATCGGATTATATGGTCCTTCGTTTTAGAGTTTAGTGACACCAACATCGATGTAAGTGTTTTATCCATGACGACTATCTGGCCACCTTTGTCGGCCTTTGAAATGATATCCGGGTTAGAATGAATTTCGCATTGTAGCTCTTTCTCTCGCAGTTAGATTTGGTTTCAAAGGTTTTTTTGAATTTCCATTATGAGCGATAAGATCCTAATCATTTCTTTCTGTGAATCTGAACTTCTGTTAAAGTTTTTCAAACAGATCTATTGATCCTGCTATCAGTTTGTTTTGACTTGAACTGCATTCTCGTTTCAGTTTTCACATCTGGTACATTAGATCCACTGAGTACTTCCAATTTTGAAATTGTTGGTTTTCTTCCCCAAGTAAGGCAAGTCAATTTAACAAACAACGGTTACGAATTTTTGTTCCTTGTTTTCATGGCTTCAGTTTCTACATTACATTTAAGTAAAAATTCAAGAGGAAGAAATTATTGCAGTCCCTTTCAACCCAAATTATAATATCAGTCCTTCTCCATTCTCAACCACAAAGGCACGTCTTGTTTAGGAGATTAAAAAATTATATTGTCATTCCTTCTTTCCATCATTAGTATAAAGTTGCACCCTATTTGGAGAAATTTACTTTTGGGTTGTTTATTCTCCCATCAATAATTCTTTCATACTCAAGGACCCCATCCGGATAGAATTCTGGGTTTTTATAGGATTCCTTGCAGGTGTTAATTTAGATTGGCCAACTAGAGAACCTTAAAATTTCGGTGTCAAGAACATGAGGCATGTTAGAAAAAGAAACCAGAAGTTTCTGTGCTTAACATTGTGGTCCAAAACACACTTTCAATTTTTTCTGCTGCAAAGTATTCAAAACATCTTCCATGGAGAACTGGATTTTCTAAGAGGCATTTCACTTCATAAAAATTCTTTCGTTCTACTAACGATCCTAATTCCTCTCGTTGCCTTCGGCCTTTAAAAAGAATTGTTTTAGTTTTTTTCACCATCATATGGGCCCATTACTTATTCTGTCGGCTTTCTTATCTTATCTAATCATTATTCCCTATCTTGCTCATTTGCGGTTTTGCAGCTGAGGATGGTGGTTCGGTAAAACCATCGAAACTAGTCCTGTGAAAATTTTGAAAATATAATGCTGATTTTTGTTGTTCGACTTCTGAATTAGTATTCTTAATAAAGTTAGGGGGAACAGGAAAGCAATATCTCTGGTGTAGATAGTAATTAATCATCACCCAAATTTATGATTTTCTGCCAACGTTTTGGTTGTTTTTCAAAGCCTTTGCCCCAGGTGGTGGTTGCTAGTCAAAAAACAGATCAACCTCATTTCAGATGTTCTGTGCCGAATGGAAGGTAGCACCAGCCAAGATGCAACTGCAGGTGTAAAAAAGTGTAGAAGTCCAAAGAAGCAATGTTGGAGCTATGTGGTAGCTGTAGCAAAAGATCCCATTTGAGTCCGTACAGAGTCCTACCACTACAATACCACCAGATACAAAGCATGATCTTTTTTTTAGTCAAATTTCACTTTGTGATGCTACCAACAGGCTCGCCGGGTGCAGCACATTTTTTACCTGTGTTGTTGCAGTAAATCCACTTTCTATCACAAGTGATGATCTGGTTCAAAATTTTGTCCTTGCATTGATATTTGAGCAGATTAGGGCAGGTTCAACACGCCTGTCATTATCTGCTTGAGTCAGCTCATGTGGCACACCACGATTGAACTTGTGTGTGAAGTTTATGCGATGCATAGTGCAGCTAATGGACATGGCATTAATGTCTAATTCCTTAGGAAGCTCTCGAGTGATTGCATACTGATCTTCTTCCACAAGTTCTTGCAGGGGGGCTCATCAACATCATTAGATTGGCCAGAACGCTCTGCTTCTTGAATGTCATAGTCCTTGTTTTTGAACTTTTAGTTCCAAACCTTCACGGTCTCACATGATACAACATTAGTACCTAAAGCTGTATACATTACGTAGCTGACTTTTTGCAGTATAACTGGAAGTAATTGATGATTCTAATCTGGTAGCATGATAGTTCCATTTCAGACACCTTGTACTTAATGATAACTATATTTTTGTATGAATTTTACAACAAAGTATCTAAAGCAAGTCTATTTCTTTCAAATGCCAAGAATCGTTTGACAAAATGTGATAAAACACGCCAACATGAACTGTTTGTGAAGATGATATTTGTGGTGGTAGGAATCTTTCATTAAAACCATTTAATAATGCAAGGAGAACAATTAAAAAATTCTAAAGTTTTAAAACAAACTAGACTATCAAAATGATGTCTAAAAAAATATTTTTATGTCTCTTTAAGTGATTTTTTTAACCTTATTTTCTCTTTGTTTTCTTTTTTTCTGTATAAAATTAGCAAAAAGAAACTAATTGTTTTTGCATACTTCCATTGATTTGTTTTTATTTATTCCTATCTTTTTTAGTCTGAATGTTATAAACTTTCCTCTTATGATCTGAAATTCACAAAACTGTAAAATCCATACAACTTCTTATTCAAAGTTATGTGGTTTATAGTGAATTTTAGTATTGAGTTTATATTTTCTGCTATTTTATAAGAAAATTTATCATGGAGCTGTGTTATTGAATATTATCATAGTGTTTTCTCCTCCCACTATTTTTAGATCTTGGATGCTGAAATGTTTGACTTGATGCACCAAAATGGGGATTACACACATTTTTACTTCTGTTACAGATGGTTCTTGCTTGATTTCAAAAGAGGCAAGTTTAAATAGTTTCTGTGCTGTTTAAAATGCTGAATGTAATATGTTTTTGCAGTTTCCAATTATTATGGCAGTAAAAGAAATAGAATATTAGGTAATTGGAGAAATTCATTGTTTTAGGAACGTAAAAAATACTCAAAGAATTGCACCCCCCCCTAACACACACAAAAAAAAAAAAAAGATCATGAAAATTTTTAAGCATTATACAGCAGTTTAGGTTCTAGATATATTGTTATTTTTAATAGTAGTACAGTCCAAAGTCGTTAATCCGGACTCGTCGGACTTTGGCGATTACGGAATATAATCATCATTAAATCTGATAGCTGCATGCAAAATTAAAAATTAAAATATGAAACCGTAATTTAAAAATAAAGAGCATTATGATCTAAAGGTATCAAAATTTAAAAAAAAAACTAATATTTATTTGTTTTACTTTATTAAACATATCTTTCAATGTAAGTTGTTTAATGCTTCGTTTTCATGATAATACTTTCTTTAATCTATTAAACATAATTCCTTGTTTAGTGTACAAAAGTTCCGCTGTTCAAGTCTATAATTGCTTTCGAGAATACCGACTAATTTTCAATCGAAATTTTTCGTTTTCAATAACCTCGTCACTTTCTTCTTACTATCGGAAGGAATTATAATGATTAGGAACTTGTTTAAATCTAGTCAAAGACCGCGTCAAAAATACTACATTTAGTAAAGATTATAAGCCAAATAAATAAAAACATTGCCCTTAAGATAAGGATAGTGCTGACAGATCAACTTCCAATTCATTGTGCCCGCACCGCAGGGTTGAAATTGATAAGCAGATTTTGGAATGATTAGATTAAGCAAAGATTCCCTTATCCATTTTTTGCAGCAATTCTTTTTGTTTAATGGACTCGAAACATACTTTCGCTTTGTAGATCCTTAATGGGTATATATCGGAAATTCTATTTGACATAATCGAAAGTTCAAGCTTACTTTTATTAAATTGCTCTAACAGTCTGCAAAAATAATAATATCCAATTCGAAGATTAAGGACAACGCAATCTGCAACTTAACTGAAATAGATATTAGATAATTTAGCTTGAGCTTACCCTGTGCGTAACGTATTATGTGCATGCGCCATGTATTTTCGCACCGTGGTCTTACGTGCACTCGTAAACACCTATGCGCATGCGCGAACGCGACACATGCGCAGAAAGTTTTTAGCTTTGAGGTCCGGATTATAGATCATTCCGGATTATGGGTTTCCGAATTAACGACTTTTGACTGTAATATATCTGAAATTTAAGACTTATTTAATTATTAGATTTAGATTTTTAGCATTTTGTTTTATATTCTTTTGTACAGTTTTGCTCTGTATGGTTGTATTAGTTCTATTGTTTATTTTTCTCACTGTCATATTTTCTGTCATGTAGTTAGTTCTCTTGTGTAATTGTTGCTTATTTAATATCATAATATAAAAAACCCCATGGATAGCATTTAATTATATATGAGGCGTATTCAAAGGTACAATTTTGTTTGGCAGCTTGTTTAACATGAAAGATTTTGCTATAAATCATACTTGTATGATTTTTTTTTAAATTATCAGGATTTAAATGACATATTTTTTCACTTCAAAATTACTTGAAATGTTTGAAAATTTTTAAATGCTTAAAAAGACTTAAATCCTTCTGAATGTGAAATATGGTATGTTGTTTATTTTTTAACAGTAGGGAATGCATTAACTACCTAATATCCACCGTTGAATTTGCTTAATTTCTGGATAATAATCCATTCTGATTTCATAATGAACAAATTACCAAAGTTTATGATAAATTACCAAAGTTAATTTACCAAAGTTTATGATAATTTCCTGAAGCTACTGATGATGGTTGTTGATAAAAAAAATTTTGAAAATTGTCATTTCACAAATATCAAGAACTCTTTTACATCAAGATGTCAAAAATTGATTGAACTATCTAAGACTGGACTTTTCCAGGATTTTAGAAGAGATCTGTGAGGGAGATTAAAAAAAAAAAAAAAAAAGTTAAAACTTTTTTCTAACTTTTTCACTCTAAAATATTGGGAAGACAATGAATTTTGGATAATATTATTACGGGTGATGTTATACAGCAGGCATATTTCTTATAACTTCAGAATCCAAATGTCGATTAAAGGAAGGCATTATGGATGGTTGGAATAAAAAATTTTGACATGCTGTTGTAGCTAATGTACATGTGCAGTGTTTTGGGGCTGAAATGCGATTTTTATCTTGAGGAAAATGATAAACTCTGAAATATGCCATGAGAACTTTAACTTTGTTAAGCAATTTAAAATGAGATGTGCTAAGTTACTGCCTTAGGGTGTAATATTGCTTCATACAATGCTTGCATACACTCCACTGGTCATTGTTAAGTAAAAAAAATGTATCATTCTTCCTGTAGCTAACACATGGTCCCAAATAACTTATTTTTTCTGCATTTGAAGATGTTCCTTGCCAAGTAATATTTCTGTGACAAAGAAATGAAAAGTGAAATGCAACATTAGCTGAAGTGGCAAGCAGGAAATTTCTGTGCAAGAAGGATGAAAATTTGATGCAATATTACAGCCAATGCCTCTATGCTGTCAATTATAGTGTCAATATGCAAAAAATAGTGTAGAAAATGGAAAATGTAATAGAACTGAGTGTTTTTAAAAACTACATCCCTTTTTATAAAAATAAATTTCTGAATAAGCTACTTTGCTATACAGTACAGTGCTGTGTAATTTTTCTGTTTTATAACTGAAAATATATTTTATAATTGCTATGATAATTATTTTATGCATAATATTTTTCTTACATTAATATTTGCTTTAAATATATAGTCTGAATAGTAATAAAAAATAAAATATTATAATAATAATAATAGGGGAGAATTTCAATTTTCTATTCATGATAGCTAGCTTACATTTCTAAGGAAACTTAAGTAATAGAGCAGTCTTAAAATCTTATTATTATTTAAATAGAGAGCTTTTTACATGTTTTTCAGCATCTATGTGTATGTGTTTTGACGAACTTTGCATCAAATTGGTATAATTTTGTGATTTAGGATAGTTTTAATAAATAAAATGTAGCTAAAGTTTATTAAATATTCTAGTTCAAGAAAATTTGCTGTTCTTTTTACTGTGCAATAAATTTTGTACATCTATGCATATGATTCAATAAGTAGTAACAACAAAATTGCAAATTTTTCCAAAGGTAAATTTTATAATCACAAAGTGAAAATAATTCATATAATTTAAATTTATTTTTAAAATGTGTAACATTCATAAATAAACAATCCTTTTGTTGGCATTTTGCACACCAGTTTTTGGCTGTACCAAGATTAGTGCTTAAAATTGTACTCTAAATTTTTGAAGACTTACTTTTAAATTGGTCTTCCTTTAAGTAGGAAACCAATATGATAATGTCCCAGTTCATTATTTGAAGTTATATGATGTAACACATGTGTTTGTAAATAAATACTTATACTACCAGTACCTAACTGGATGACTGCTGAACACTGGCAATTGAACCTGTGTTTGGATTTCCACAAAGAGACTTACATTATAGGTGTTTTCTTGGGAGTTTTTTTCCCATGTGCAAAGTGAATGTGAACCAATTTTGTTTAAAAAATCTTCCATAAAGTACCCCTTCCCTTAGGCAGATAGCCCTCATATATTTTTCCATATTTAACTAAACAAACAGACATGAAATTCAGTAATCTAATCTGCAATATGCTTATGTTTTTCATCCCAATTTAGAACTATTATATGATGACGTGTTCAGTGTTTGGGAAACTATTTGGTCTGCCAAGCATGTTGCATCAAGCCATTTTGTCCTGTTCATTGCACTTGCTATGGTAGAGTATTACAGAGATATTATTCTGGAAAATAATATGGACTTCACTGATATTATAAAGTTCTTTAATGGTAAGTATATAGTTTTTTTTTTTTTTTAATTTAAGTATAATTTCCAATTTTTTGTAATTGATTTGTCTTATATTATGTCAAATTCTTTTGCTTTTCCTCGGTTAATCTTTCGAGCTTCCTTTAAATTATACTTCAATACAGCTGTCCAGGAATAGACATTCATGGGACCAATGTCTTTTGCCCATTATCAGAAAGTATCCTTTAAACAAGAGTGTGCTAGTCTCTTACCTGGATCCAGAAATTCAGAAACTGCCTATTAACAAGTAGTATCAGCTAAAGTAGGATGTCTATTGATGGAAGTTCAAAGGACTATATTTTTATTCTTCATTCTTACCAAAAGATGTTTATTACATCATTATCACTATGATTTATATATTTTGTTCAAAGAGAGAAATCTGTGGATTTTTTTTGTTAAAAGTGTAATTATAACATTAGGAATGAAGTTCTTCTATCCCTAATAATAATTAGTTTGTCACTATTTTCCCAGTTTTTCTTAATTTTTTTCCAGTTTAATTGATGAATAAGATTTCTTCAAGCTCATCAGTTACCAGTTTATGAAATACTATTAAGTACTATTTATAATTTTGTTTAATTACCTGTCACTGATTATTTTATTTCATATTTTTTCACTCTTTGATCTTACTCAATAAGTAGTGTTATTTATTTTTTATATATATAGGAAAATATTTAAGCAGAGTGACATGAAGAATACCTTACTTTTGAAAAAGAGTGTCTCTCAATATTTCTAAATGTTAAAGTTGAATTTTGCAAATTTTTGAAGATTTGTGTATTGATTAATCTCACTTGTCTGACAGTAACATCAGATCAAGTCGATAAATTTTGGTGTGACCAACAGACATGTTTGTGCCTGAGCTTGGCTTAAGCCTTGGGCATCTTTTGCCTTGGGCATCTTTGGTACAAGTTTGCCCAACACCATCCCAGTTTGGAGGTATAATATCCCCAGGGCACAGATCTGAGGATCTTCCACCTCTCATCCTTTTCCACCTTCGTCTCAAAAGATGTTTTGACTCAACAATGTTGTAAGTGTCCCCAAGCCACAAATTTACTACACACTTATAAACATCCATGCCATATTTGGGATTTGAACTCAGGCCCAAGGCTGTCATCGCTGACTTCCCTGTAACTATGCTGATAGGGTAGCAAATAAGTATATGATATATGCTGTTAAATTATTGTTATTGTTTAATGTAGTTCAATAACATATATATTATAGTACAGTTCATATCAAAATATAAGGAACCTCTTCCAATTTTGTATGTTTGTATTTGTCAGTCTATGATCTTATGATAGTCTCTTAATCAGTATATGTGACAGTTCCTTTGATTTCTTTCTCACATTTATGCTAAATAAAATAGCAAAGAAGACATAAATGATCTTTAATTACATAAAAAATTCTACACATAATCTTTAATTACATAAAAAATCATATGCAGGTATTAAGACACAATAACACGCCGAATAAATACTAATTCAGAAGTCAAACAACAAAAATCAGCGTTAATTTGCAAATTTTTCACGACTATTCGTGGTTTTTAGTGAAAATGAACAAGTAGGAATTCATTCCTTCTTTTCATTTGCGTTTGCAGCGAGAGATGGTCTAAAACCATCGAACTAGTCTGTGAAATTTTGCAAATTAACGCTGATTTTTTTTTTGACTTCTTAATTATTATGCAGTATTCAGTGAGAAAAGAAACAGAAAAAGAATCACATTATCTCCCCTCCCCCCCCCAAAGAAGAACAATTCAATGTCCAGGAAATTTAAAGGTAATAGCAGATACTGTCATGAAAATGTAGGAAACTTGTTGAAAAATTAAATCTTGGCTAACTTCCTGTTATTAGGGAATTAGCCACTGTTGCACATGTTTAATTTTACAACACATGTCTGCATAACAATTTGTCTGCAAAGAAAAATGGCTCTTAAAGTTATAAGATCGAGGTCTGTTATGAACATAAACTTGTAAAGATTCTTTTATTGATTTACATCTTTTTGTTGTAGTTATTCTGATATAAACTTTCCAAACCTGGGATAGAAGTTGAATCACGTTATATTACGGATTCTAATAATGCTGAATTCTTTTCCAGTGCTTGATTAATATGAAGTAGCTTTTGAAGATATCTTTTAAACCTATCAGTATGTATATCTAACTTGTATTTTATTGATTTTATATTTAGAAATGGCTGAAAGGCATGATGCAAAAGCTGTGTTGAAGATTGCCAGGGATTTAGTTCGGCAGATACAAACACTGATTGATAATAAATGAAACAGGTGTAATGGATTTTAAAAAATACGAATTAACATGCAAATAAAACATTTTGTTTTTTATCTGAACAAAGGACATAAGTGTGGGCTTTGATTATTTATTCAGTCATTGCCTAGTTTCCAAATGAACTAAAATACTTAAAACTATTTTCTCATAGAAAGTCCAGTTATGTTGCAGAATTGTATGTACAGTACAAAGTCTTTGATCCGGACTCGTCGGGATTTCGGCGATTCCGGTTAAGGGGTTTTTCCGGATTATAGATCGTCAATTTAAATCTGGTAAGATGGCAGAAATTATAAAATTAAAAATATGAAACTGTAATTTATGAAATAAAGAGCAATTATGATCTAAAGGTCAAAATTTACAACAAAAAAAACTTAATATTTTTTTTTTCTTTATTAAATATTTCTTTCAATAAAGTTGTTTAAGTTCTGCTTTCGTTTTATGTGCTAAGACTTTCTCTTTAATTCTATAAACAACATAATTTCTTGTTCAGTTACGAAGTTCCACTGTTCAAGTCCTGTAATTGCCGTGCTGAGAATACCGACTAACTTGTCAAATGAAATTTTTGTAGTTTTCACTAACCTCTCTGTCACTTTCTTCGTACTTTTTGTAAAATTGCTCTAACAGTCGCAAAAAAATAAGCCGAATCGAATTAGAAGATTAAGGAACAATGCAATCTGCAACATTAACTGAAATAGATAATTATAATTTTAGCCTAGCTTATACCGTCCGTTATATATTAAATGCGCATGCGTAAACGCTACCGCATGCGCAGAAAGTTTGTAGCTTTCAGGTCCGGATTAAAGACTTTGTACTGTATTTAAAATCATACAGACTATACAAAAATATCTAATGTTTTATAATCACTTCTGTGGGAACTTGCTTATATGTGATGGTGCTTTTATAAATGTTAAAACTAAGATAATTGCAGTAGTCATAAAATGTTTTATGCTTGCATTATAAGTGAAGAATCAGTAAAATTTGTTGAATTAATTATAAATGTCTTTTTTGTGAAATATGAAAAGTATCAAATCTTATTTTATTTTAATTTTAAACATTCCATTCTAGTCTATATTTTCTAGTCCATACTTCCTTTATGCCTAAAATACTAATTCCTATGTTTTACATCAGAGTGTATATTTTTAAATTTTAATTGTTTAAAAAATGTAAATTACCACATTGTACTTTTGCATTTATTATTATTTTTTATTTTATTAGATTCTGACATAAATGCATACTTAATGTGTTCATTTTTTCATCATATATTTTATTATGTTATGAAAATCATATATTAAAACTTAATTCTCATTACTGTCCAAAATATGTGTTTTAGAATTCAGCAGAGTATTGCCTGTGTATCTTGCATTCAAGCACTTTGCAAATTACCATACCATACTATAACTTCCAGTACACACATAAAGATAAAATGTATTTTGTTATAAAGGGATAGATTTCCTGTGTGTGCCATTTATTTACCGAGAACTTTCTTGGGAAATTGTATATGTCACTATAAAATGCCAAATATGTATATTTTTATCAGTACAATTAAAAATTCTAAGTTTGTGCTGTAACAGGTTTTTCAAAATACAAGTACAACTGTGATAAAATTTATCAGAAGTAAATATTCAGAGTGTGTGTTTTCATACCTAATGCCTGTTACCAAAGCACATATAATATGTGATGTTTTTCCTTTAAAACTTCATTATTTATTCTGTGTAGAGTAGAGTATATTTATGTACTGCAATTCTCTTTATATTGGTGTTTTCCTAATTTAACTAGTATTTTAATCCAGTATTATTCAGAACTTTTTATGTTGAATAGTTTAATATAATGTAACAGATTTACTTTTTATATGTCTACATTCAATATCAGTGATTTAAGCTAATTTAGTAAGCAAGCATAGCAAGTCAAGAATTCTTACTGGGACTTTGTACACATCACTATATTATACTCCTAAGTGTATAGTGCAATATGTATGGGTGTTAAACGTCTGTTAAAAAGTGTAAAAAAACTTTTAAAGAAAATATTTAAGCTTTTTATATACGAATAGATTGCGTTGAGAGAAATTCATTGATGAAGCTAATCTATGTCCTACCGAGTGTTGAAAAACTGTAAATATTATAGATACCTTGTCACCTTGATTTCATTTTGAAATATTATACATATCATATGGAGTGGAAATCAAAGTTATCACCAGAATGGTTCCATACTAGACTTTGGAGTAAATTAATTATTGATTTTATTTCTTGTTAAAATATTTTTCTACTTTTAGAAAATTTCTTTAAAACACGTGAGCATGAGCTACAAAAACAATTCCTGAAATTCACATTGCAGATTAGATAGATATATATATATGCACACAGAACTTTGGCTGAAAGTATTAGGCATCCTATAGAATTGCATTTCTTTTAACATAATTTTGAGATTAAAAAAGCTTGTTATTATTGATTATAAACAATATTTATTCACAGTTTTAAAATTTGATGTTTCCACCTTTCGCTTCAATTACATTAGCAACTTTTCGCATACTAGCATGTAGTTTATGACACTGTTTCACATTTATGCCATTTCAAACATGCTCAAGAATATTTTTATGGGAAATTTTTGATGTCATAGAGTATTGGCATAGCTTTCACTTTAATAGATTCTATAGGTGCTGTAACTATTCGGGGACTATGATGGCCAATTATAAAGAATCCACTTCATTGAAGTTACTGATTTGTGACATGCTGCATCATCTTGCAAAAATATGATGCAATCCATGTTTATATCATTGAATAATTTATGAAAAGACGGTCTTAGAGTCATTTCAAGAACACTGATGTATTTCTGGCTATTCGTGTTATCTTCACAAGTTTTGCTTACATCACTGGCTGCCATGCATCCCCAGATGATAATATTGCCTTTTTCATGTTTTACACTGAGAAATACTCTCCCTGGATACCTTTTCTTTTGCTTCATGTAGAATGTGCTAGGTGTACCAAATACCTAAATGTCAAAAGGAAAATTTTAGTTTTTTGAGACACTAGGTTATAATTAAAAACATTCAAGGTATGTATGAAAGATTACAAGGCATGTTCAAAACGTTCGGTGAATTTTACCATAAAAAAAAAAAGGAAACAAGAGAAACAAGCAAAATAGCTTTACTGGCCTTCAAAGTATTCGCCATTAGCAACAATACACTTTTGACATCGGGTGTACACTTGTTGGAAACTATCTGCAAACGCTTCTTTTGGTAGATCTGGAGAATATGGAGGCTGATCCAAAAATGGAACCTGGTGCCTGTTGAGGAATTGGGTTACATGGATCGCAGTGTGCGGCCGGCTGTTGTCATAGAGCAGATTCCACTGTGCATTCCGGTAATGTGGCCAAATCCAGCGTGTGCGTAGCAGCAGCCGTTTCAAAACCCCCTCGTAGTATTCCACATTGACAGTTGTAGCTGCAGGTACAAATTCATGATGGATCAAACCCTTACTGTTGAAAAAGACAATCAACAACATCTTGATCCTGGATTGTATCAAACGACTTTTTTTGGGAGGGGGTGATGACGTTGAACACCATGCCATGGATTGCCGCTTGGTCTCCGGATCGTATTAATAGCACCACGACTCATCCCCTGTAATTATTGTTTCCATCCAAGAATTGCGGATTCCGGTCACACATGTCGATAAAATCTCCAGAGGTTTCCATCCGGTATTGCTTTTGCTCGTCTGACAGCGAGTGCGGTATAAACCGGGTGCATATCTTATGTTTAATGCAAAAGTTTGTGCACAATGGTGCTCCCACTGTCTAGGCTTATCTGCAATTTGCCAGCTATTCTTAAAGATAGTCATTGATCTGTTGCAAGCATATCCATCATTCTCATTGTCTTGGAGTTGTGTTTGTTGTAGGACGCCCCGACCGTGGCTGATCTTTGACATCCTCCTTTCCGTCTGTAAAGCCGTTTAAACCACTCATAAACACACTTTTTACTCACTGCTTCCTGACTGTAAACTTTCACTAACATGTCATGTGTCTCCGTCGCCGTTTTGCCTAACTTGAAGCAAAACTTTATGTTTGTGCGTTGCTCCATGTCACACTGACAATCTTTCTCACACTGATTGTGTTAAACTGCTCATAGTGTGCGCTTCCTCTTATCTGTAGTAAAATGGCCGTTAGAGGGCTCTACATGACATTTCTCTCACTGCGTCTGCATGAGTGCAAGATCCTAACCGGCACGGTTTTTTAATTACGAGACCAATCACCAAACTTTTTGAACACACCTTGTATTTTATGTGATATAGAAGCAAAACGATGTTTATCTGAAAGCTTCATTCATCAGAAAAGAGCATATTTCAGTATTCTTCCTATGTAAACTGTGTGATCTAAATCTCAGTGTTTTGCTTCTTTCTAGATTTACCATCTTTCAGATCAGCTGCTACAAATCTCCCTCTGATAGTTTATGCAAAAATTGAGCACTTAATTTCCTCTGATAACTCTGCAGCAGGCTCATGAGAATTTTTGCTTTGATTTTGTGTTGATTTTTGAAAGGAAGTTCAGTCATCATGTTTTGGTGGATTTTTTCCCGAACCATTTTCTTTATCATTTATGTGGAAATCCCCCCCTTTAGAACATTCCAAAGTACATCATGAGCATTTAAGATTTTTTGCTGTCTGAGCTTGAATTTCCCTTGCTTGTTTAAAAACAAGATTTAATAACATTTCAGAACATTAATTTCCCTAAGTTCTGATGTTTTCTGTAAGCATTATTTTAATTATCAATTAGTTAGTGCAGCACAATAATGAAATTTCCATGTAAATGAAATAGTGAAACAATTACAATAATATTAATTTTTTAAAGGAAATTATAAGAATTAAATAAAAATTTAATGACTACCTTTATTTTTTACAAACTGTAACTTAAAAAGAAAGTTCATAATTGTGTGCCTTTTATACCTGGTGTGTAATACCTTTGGCCAAGGCTGTTTATGTACAAGGTATCTGGATAAATATCTCCCAGTGGAAAATTCACATATTTCAAGAACTACTAATGATAGCATCATTGAATTTTTTCTTTCTCTTTCTTCTCTTCTTTTTTAACTGAAAGAGAATTTGTCAGTTTTGTCACAGCAAATGATGGTGCAACTAAATGAATTAAGTGAAAACTTACCGTTTAACTAATCATAGATCAGCAGATCCTCACATGTATTCTTTGGTTGCTCTACAAATATCAGTGTAGTTCTTAATCTGCCTCCAAGTTTCTGCAATATTTGAGGCATCACAAATTTGCATGCAATAGTAATTTTTTCTCAAAGAATA